GGTAAAAAAGTACCCTTCTTCACTTCAGTTTTGACTTCACGCAACTACATGAGGCAAACGTGTCTAAACATAGACACAAGTATAAAGCTTATGTGTTGAGAAGTTTCCACTCACAAATTGTAAATTATTTGGACCTTGTATGTTAACCACATACCAATTGAAGGCTGAACATATTTTCGTTTTCATTCAGTCATTTCGCTTCGCTTTAAATTCCACTTGTTTTGTCCTCACTGTAAAATAAAAAGTCATTGCTCCCTCCGGTGTGCTTATTCATCGTGCCAGGTGAATTGGCGATGCTATTACGGCTTTGGGTGGAGTGTAAAGCTATCTGAGAAACAGAGTGCAGGGACTTTATAAAAGGCTCAAGAGAGGGATATGTGCACACTGCACACAGACGAGGCACAGTCAGAGCCAGAACACAGCAGAGAGTTGCACCATTAATGCCATTTTTAAATCCTCTTCATATTGTGGCCCTTTGCCAAAAATGACCTTTTTCAACTAAAACATTCATGAAGTGGCTATTACATCAAATGAATGTTTGCGAAATGAAACTAATTTAGAAAACGTACTTTACAGGATTTGCTTTCTTTTGGTCATTCTTTCTTTATAATTACGGAACAAATTATGAACCAGACTTTTTTCTAATCTTTATTCCATCATTTGATTGATTAACTCTGTTGTATGGAAAACCGCTTATGAGCACAAATGTAACACACACACACACATTTTTACGTATCTATTTTTTACTTTATTCTGCAGTAAATCCAAAGACACAGTTGACAGATGTCTGATATGACATGCATTCTGTCCTTTTCTGTCTGCGTTTTGTATACTGAGAGCTAAGACAATATATTGGTATGTAGAGAATGCATTATATAATTTAAAAGTAGCCAATATAATATGGATTTTGGACACAGCTAATGGGATGCTGAACAGTATAGATGCTGCATGGCCCTGCAGTGCAAAATGACCTTTACAAGACAAAACAATGATTTTTCTAATTTCCGAAGATCCCCATAATGGTCTCAAGCAGTCCGGAGTCTTTTTCTGAGATAAATGCCTCCGGAAGAAAGAGATATGACAAAGCATTGTGTAAAGCAACTATGTAAATCAGGAACTATCCTGTTTCTGTCATCGGTGCAAGATGTCTGCCTTGAAATGGGAAAATTATATTTCAGAGTATTGTGGAGCTAATCAAAAACCTTAAATCATAAAAAGAAATTGAAGTTTGAAGCATGAATATCACATTACACTTGTAGAGCTGTAAATCTCTATCGATATGTATTCCTCCAGGGAAGGTTTACATTGTTTAATGTTCAGTCTCCAGTGAAACCACCTGTCTATTAGCATTGACTGCTGAGCAGCTTCTCCAGAGAAAACAGGGGTCAATCATGTTTCTCAAAGCAAAATCAACAGAAAGTGGTTCTTGTTCACTTCTTAGGTTTTTCAGATGACCACATTCTGGTTACAGCCGAGTTTATGTTCCATTTTAAACAGCAACACCCACCCATAAATGCTCTTATGTCCTATCGCATGCAGTGGGATCACAGGGAGGTTAGAGATGCTGCTCAATAGAGACATGACCCTCATCCAGAGCGATTGCTGTGTCTTATATCTGACTACCCTTACTCGATTGACTTCAGTCAACATCCATACTCCCTCATACGTGTCCCACCTCATCAATATTCATGTATCGATTTCTCCTCCGTCTCTCGTTTTCCTCATCAGTTAAATCTTCCTCATCTACAGCTGCCAGTTTGTTGCTTGTGGGCGCGTTGGGTTTAAACTGTACACAGAACAGAAGCTCAATGTATAAAATATTAGCTGCAGCTGCTCGGCATCGATTTGTCAGCCTCTTTACGTAATCCACATCCCATTTGATCCAAAGCTTGAGGATTCTTTTTTAAACTTTCTAATCGTTTTTACCTGAATTCACCTCATCAGTGTTTATGACAACAGAGATAAAAGCCTGGACAGAATCCAAGACATCTGTTCTTATCAGCAAACTCACAGGGAGAATATGTTGTATTACATATAAGCATAGGATTAGAGAATCAAACCACAATAATACATGCAAGAATTTGCTTTTTTTTAATAGGGGTGGACTGACCTTGTGTACTCGCTAAAATCAATAATGGCAGGACATGAAGCATCGTCACAGTCATATTTAACAGCAAACATGGCGTAGGGATTCATACAGTATGTAGGAGGAAAGATATGTTAAAGCTACACCTTGTTGAAGGCATCTCTGATTTGTTCTACCCTGGAGCTTCAGGATGTCTGGCTACACAAGCATGTGCCAGCGCCTGATCAAACATATTCAAATGATTGCACTTGCCTGGGCCTCTCCTGTATCTCATTAGTCACTATTATTTTTCTCGGCGACCTTGAGAAGTGCTTATAATTCCGACTGCAGAATATGTTTTATGTGTGTTCGCTTGCTGCTAATAAAATGTTTTTTGTCAACAGTTTAAACGCCAAAGGTCACGGATGATGGATATTTGTTCCAGTTTATGTTTGCAGGTGTTCAGTTGCTGGTCTGGAGAGAGAGGAAAAGAGGAAGAAAGAAAAAAAGGAAAGAAAGAAAGAATAAAGAGAGAGAGAAAGCACATCTTTTATTTTATTTTATTTTTTTATGATTTGCATGCAAATATTACCAGCAACATCATGCACAATAATCCATAATTCCCCTTTATAATTTCTGCTGTCATCTTTCTTTTTTTAAATGGATCAACCAGGTCAAGAAAGGGAAACGGGGGTTGGCTGTGGTGTGTTTTAGCTGAATGTAATCATTCATGTAAAAAAAAAAACACCATTGTTTTACTTGTAAAGAAAACACATTATTCTGCGTTTGTTCATAAGGAAGAGGGTGTACGGTGGCCGGTATGTGCAAATGTGCTACAGCAGCCCAGAGAGCTTCCATTAAGAGAAATGCACAGCAGTTTTAAAAACAATGCAATAAAAAAGCACAAATGTGCCAAATCACATGCAAACATCTTCAGCAACTTGACGAAACATGTGCAGTGTTCATTAAAAGTGCTGCATTGACCAAATTCAGCAAGAAGCTCAAAACCCAACGGGAACGGAAACACTAAAAAGTGATGCACAGCTGGGACCATAACGCTGGTTGATGCTGGATTATAACATTGGCCTACTGTCATTGTCCCTGGAAATTAACCTAAAATGTAAGTTATAATAGTTTATTTTAACAATTTGATCACATGCCAGAATTCTTACTTTTATCTCAGAACTCATAAATTCAGTTTTGGTCAGAATATGTCACATGTTGCCCTAATCCTCTTCTGTATGTTCAAAATATAAATGAAGACAATATATTCCAAATGTATATGTATAGGTGTTTGATGTAATACAATGCTTTGGCAATGTACTGTATGTCATATGCTCAAAAGCAATTTGAATTATATACAAGCTTACATATAACTTACTTACAAAGAGAGAGACAGAGGGCATCAGATTAATGTAAAGAGGTGCTGGTGCTGAGATTGAACAGATGTCCGTGATGAGGTGATGAGATCCTGCACTTTAAAGACAGCTGGAGGACATGAGTGAAGTGAAGCATGTGTCTGTGATGACCTACAATCTGGTTCACCTCAAGATCATCCATGCAGGTTGACATGAGCTCATTTTCTTGACACTGACAGCTCTACAGTATTCTGTACAGATGTGCTTGAATGAACCTTAACACATCCTCCAGTGTCATAATTGTTGTGCAATAGATGAAAGGGAATGTGATTTATTTTTATTTTGTAGCTACAGACAGGGATTTTGGCAAATGCTGTTTAGAATATATATATATATTGGATTGATTCTATATATTACTCATTCTGGGATCAGGTAATATTTTCAGAGTAGCCATCTCTGAAGCCAGGGGATCACATCTGGTCACTCAGATAGTCAACAAATAATTACAATGTATTTGATTGTAGGCCTTGCGATGTGCACCACACATTTTAAAGGGTTTTCCCATAGGTTTTTGTCCATGCAAAGGTTCTTCAAAGGACCAAATCCCATGTTCCCTCAAGACTGAGTTTCTCTCCCACACACTCCCCCCCCTGCCTGAGACACCTGTATCGGACTCCTTCGTTCACTTCTGTAACATAGTGACCTCACTATGTTAGACTTGCACTTCTATTGGCTAGCGCTCCAACACATTGTACGTGATAGGCTAAAGGGCTGGACATTTCCGACATATCCCTAAGGCCCAGTGCTTCTCAAAGTGTGGTCCGCGGACCACTGGTGGTCCGTGAGCGCCCCCCTAGTGGTCCGTGAGTATATTGGTAACATTTCACATTTGAAATAAATAAATACATTTCAGTTTTCCGCACTCTCGCGGGAATATCTCCACAATGGAGCGAGGTTAAGTTTCACTCTTTTTTTTTGCATGATATAGCCCAGCGCAACACCTTCATCACACATGTTGCCACTTGTTTGTACCATTTTCAAGTGATTTGTAATCTGTTCTAGAAAAACGATGTGTTTTTTGATATTTGTGGAGTTAGGTGGTCCGCGAGTGTTTTTGTATTGGTTAAGTGGTCCTTGGTATGAAAAAGTTTGAGAAACACTAAGCGGTCGACCAATCATAACAGAGCTGGCCTAACCGTCAGAGCAAACTGGGCTCTGGTTTTAGACAGAGGGTGAAACGAGGTGCTGCAAAACAGGCAGTATGAGAAGAATAAAGCACTAGCCTAGTCACACCACTGTTAACCACATCATGGCTGTATGTAGCAGGTGACTGTTTTCACCTGCTCAGGATCAAAAAGGTGACTGACTGTTAAGAGGAGCATTAAGCAGTGAAATATCAAAGTGTTTCCATCAGAAAGGTTTAAATAAGCAACTATTTGCTAACATTTTGACCATATAAATATCCTTAGTTGATAATATGTCAGCATTGTGCTAACAGCTTCCTCTGCTGCCCCCAAGTGGAAAGAACTGTTACTGCAGGTTCAAATTAAACAAAAGCGACAAAAAAGAAATCAAAAAACTGTATTCATGGTTTCTTTTATTTAGCATCACCACTTTCACATGACTGTAAAACCATACGGGACATCTTCCTTCACAATACATTATTCCAACAGAAGCTCACGTTCTTAAAAACCATAGACACAGATTATTTTTTTATTATTACAAACATTAGAATATGCTCTCTGCGCTAAATTGAAAACACTACTGAATGTGTCTCATTAACACAATCCTTACTAATCTCAAATCTAAATTAAAATGATTACGGTATTTTTAGACCACAACATGTTTTTAGGTGTAAAATCAAACAGAAGTATGGAAGCTAACTGCTTGTAGAGACCTATAATACTAATAATTAATAAATCTATCAAAAACGTTCTAAAAGTTATGTGTATGAATTTGGAGTGGGTGATGCTGTAGTGTGTTTCATATTCACATCAAGTTGTGTGCTTAGACCACCAAACAGAAGATTTCAAAGGCTAAATCAAAAATCAAATGCCCCAGCAGAATTGTGAATCTATTTACATAAAATACAGTTTCAATATTTGTAGCAGAACATTCTGTGGGGAGGTTCATCCTGTACTGCCAGTACATGATTTTTGCTGGTGATGATATGTTAAAGCCACACAAAGGCAAAGAGAGTGGATGTTAGTGTTCTACCAAGGTGTGTGGGGTGACCCATCGAATGACAAAATATATACTATAAAGATATAATATACACAATAATTAACAACCAATAATGGAATGATTAAAATGTATATGTTGGACTATTGGGTTGGATTTGGATCAAAGTGTTTACACACCTGGATGTGCTTAATACAAGATTGTTAATAATTTGATACTTTTTCACACATTTCCAAAAACAACAGGCAATACATCAGCAGTACTTCAGTCTCTTCAGTAACAAAGATCCCACACAGTGAGTTAAAAATAAAAAATTGAAATAACTATAAAGTGTTTGCTTCAACAAAGAAATATCACTGTGAATAATAAAGTGCTGCTAAAAGGGTGACTTTCCTCAAACAAGGCATGGAAAGAAAAGAGGTTCAACAATTGATACAGCAGTCGTAGACAGTGACTTGAACACCTCGGCACAATGAGCCAAACTACAGAGTTTATTTTCCATCAGCTACTGTTGTACAGTGCAGTAAACACCCCGAAGAGAGAAAGAGCTGACAGCTCTGCAGAATAACAGTGACAAGCCTTAGCAACGACACAACAAGGTGTCCGCCTCCTATGACACATAATGGGCTTTATGGAGCACACGGGGGGTTTGACCCAAAAGGTGACGAGCACTCTCTGGATAACGGAAAACCTTACAGATGGACCACATTTATTTTTGGTCGCCATTTGTGTTTGCGTGAAAAGATTAAGGCAGCTCTCAAGCCAATTCACCAGACTTCGGAAGCTCTCCAGGTTATCTCAACTCAAAAATACATCAAGTGATGATCGTCCGATGACAGGGGCTCTCAGTCTGGATCGGGCCGACCTGACATGACACTGCTCCAAAGTGATAAGGCTGAAAGGTTGAAGGCAAAGGAGGCGCGATTATTCAAAAAGGGCACTTTATCTCACACATGTTCGGCATTTTTACAACTGACTTTTGGCTTTGTGTCTGCTGATTGTGAGTGTGTAACTATCTCAAGATAAGATGGATGGAAAATGTATTGTGTAGTACTCCAGTACTGATCTGTGTAGATATTGATAATGTTCCTTTTTTTGTATGTCAATATTAATTTAAACAAATGTTCTCTTTAAAAGGAATGGTGTAAAAATACATGAATGGTACAAGATTTTTTTTTTTAATATATATTAGTTATGTCTTCATGACCTTATTTAAAGTAAAATGTTGTCTACATAAGTAACAAAAAGGTAAAATATGTGGAGTGTTACCATTAGTCGAATACATTTCATACAGAAGACTAACTCCTCACAGCAATACAATGACATATCACATGTCACATGTCTTTCACACGTTTGTGTACTCACTCAGTAACTTAAAGAGGTACAAATAACTTATTCCTCATCAGCGGAGCATTGAGACAGTGCCCCCTCTGGTGGGGAGAGACAAAGTCGAGCAGTGCAGCGTCAACAGTGCTAGAGTCTACAGTGATCAAGCATTACAGTAGGATTGATAGAAACAAGTATTTTGCACAGTGAACTGGTCTCTACAGCCGCAGCATTTTTAAAACCGCATAAAGACAAACTGACTGTATGGTAACAAGCTACAAAGAACAGAGCATAAGCACACATCAGGTATAAATTCAGTGAAAAAAAAGATTAAAAAAGGGTTGATTGATGCAGACACTCCTTTTCCTTCTTTTAAAATATTAAAACCAATCTATCCTCAACTCCTCTCCCCGCATCAGGCGACACAGTGCCCATCAAGTTGTTGTTTCTTCTTGTGTGAGGGGCGGCGGAGGACATCATTTTTTAGAATCTCACAGGGCTGTGCTGTGCTAGGTGGTGTTTGACGCCCGAAATGTGGTGACAGCGTGAAAATTATTCTACCAATGGATATGTCTACTTCTAGTTAGTGGAGCCTTCTCGTCCCTCCTTGGTCTGAGAAAGAGTTTTTCTATTTTTAGAAGTTAAAAGCAGTCCCTCAGAGCTGAGAATCTGCTCCCAGGCTGTTGAGCTCCTCCGGCGAGTGCTTCTCTGCCCCCAAGGCGGACGTCTGACGGAAGCCGGCTGAGATCTCGTCAAATGTCCGGCCCTTGGTCTCCGGCACTTTGAAGTAGGTGAAGACGAAGAAGCAGAGAAGGAGCACCGTGAAGATGACAAACACGTAGGGGCCGCACAGTTCCTGTGAAGAGAGATGAGAGGAGAGGGGAGGCAATTATTTAGTGAGTCAGTGCTCAGTAAATCTGACATTAAGAATGTATAAAGATTTTAAAAGATAGTTAGCAAAGCCAAATGTACTACATTTGTTCGTAAATTAGGGTATTCTTGTAATTCAACTTAACTTGAATATAATAAAGTTGTTTGCCTTGTCGAGGAGGGAAAATGTAAACACATGTCCAAAAGATAAAAACATCACATTAACGGAACAAAGATCTCCCAGTTGCACAGTCAATGCATTCATAACTATGGTGTAACACCTATACTGTAATACTTAAAGGTGGGGTAGGTAATTCACTTCAGAAACACTTGTTATATTCCATGGAATGTTCTTAACATCCCGATAGCAATGAATATATGAAATGCTTTGACAAAAAATCCATAATAAAATGTCATCTGTGGAAGCCGTGGCGCTGTAAAAAGCACGACCAATCATTTTAGCCGGCCCGGCTAAGTAACTGGATGGCCTACCTGCCTGTCAGCCTTCCATCTGTGCACAAACTTATCTCTGCCCTCATTGGTCATGTGCGCATTCGTGTGTGTTGGAGGAGGGGCTCTGTAAGGAAGTCTGAAGGAAGGGGGAGATTTTTTCCGGTTGTGTATTTTCAAATTCTAGCGCACTCGAGCTGGTTTCTCCATTCTTACCTACCTACCTTTAAGATTGCTAGAGTTTGTTGTCTAATTAATGGCAATAAGAAAAAAACAATACTTTTATATTTTTCTGTGCCATTGGTATTCTGTAGCCAATAGAGGGGAGCAAGTGAAACCCCGGTTGGAGGGTTTGAGCTAGCTGTGCATCTAGTGTCTTTTATAATTAGCACCAACCTTCCTGGAATTGTGGTGTAACTGTAACCTCACAAACACAAATACCAGTTATAATTTTTGTTTCTCACCTCTACATACTGGAAGGTCATTCCCACTATGAAGTTAGCAGTCCAGTTGGAGAAACCAGCTACAGCCATGGCTGCCGGCCGGGGGCCCTGCGAGAACAACTCTGCCACGATGAACCAAGGGATCGGGCCTGGTCCGATCTCAAAGAATGCCACAAAGGAGAAAATGGCCACGATGCTCAGATATGACATCCATTTGAGCTGCTCCTAAAAGAACAGAGGACAAGAGGGAGGTTAGTTGCTGGTAGCTACTCGAAAGGAGTCATGACAGATACATTTTATTATGGATTTAAGAGAAACGTACCAACAGAGCCAAGGCAATGGTCATTAAGACGGCAGATCCGGCCATTCCAATCAGCCCCAGCAGGTGCAGAGAGCGACGTCCTGCACGCTCTACAACAAACAGCTACACAGAAAAAAAGATGATAATAAATAAGATGAGGAATCTCTCACTGCAGAGCTATAAAGTGATACATTTACAACCTATAATTAGTTCAACAAGGCTGCTCTAGAAACAAAAAACAGGGGTGCTCAAATATACCTTTGCATTAAAGAGATTTTTTGAAATGCCAAAACATAACGGTATTGACCAATTCCGTCTCCAATATGTCCGAAAACAACAATAAACGATCTTGAAAGTTATTATCTTAACTATTATGTATGTGGGTTTTACTTCAAATTGTAAGGCTTCACTCTGTACTCACCGACACTACAGTGAAAGCTGTGTTAACGACTCCGGCTCCAATCGTGGCGTAGACAGGCTGCTCAACTCCGGCTTTCTCAAAGATACGAGTGGAGTAGTAGAATATCTAGAAAATGAGGCAACCAAAACATTTCAACATGAAAGTCTCGTCTTAGGTATGTTCAGGATATCTTTTTTCTGTTTCTGATGTAGCGTTAATGTGAAAGTGAACCGAGTACATTGGAAAAAGCACGTCAGTGAAGTTTCTTTTGCGTCTCTCCATCAGATTTCAATGACAGTCATCAGAGTGATCGGTGGGATAATGTCGAAGCGTGCACACTTACAGCGTTGATGCCAGACAGCTGCTGGGACAGCTGCAGGATGACAGCAACCAGGAGGGGCTGGCGGTAGAGGTGTGAGCGGAAAAGCTCCGGGATGGTCACCTTCTTCTCCCTCATCATCTGCCGGCTCTCCTCCTTCATCTCCTGCATGTCAGAGCTCACATCCGAGGTGCCTCTGAGCTTCTTCAATACTGAAATGTGCACAGAGAACGCAGGCTGTTATCTCCACAAGTTGCAATGTTTCCCTATTCACCAGTTCAGCTCATTTCTTTTTGAATCCTACAACATTTTTTTTACTTTCCTATTTAAATATTTGTACTTTTTATTATGCATATTTAGCAAATTCCTATTTACATTCTGTTAATAATTAGCAAATACGGTCTCATTTAAACTCATTTATTTTATTTATGGTTGTATTGTCTGCCATGTTTTAACTTGCAGTATTTGCAGTGTTAATAGCTTTTCCATGTTTTAAAAGCACAGCACTTGTAGATTGTTTGTGAACTCACCATGTTTGGCCTTGTTCTCTTCGTTGTTGTTGATGAGCAGGAAACGGGGGCTCTTGGGGCAGAGAGGCAGCAGGATGCACTGCAGCACAGCGGGGACGACGATGAAGCCCAGGAGCAGGGGCCACAGGTCGTCGTTGCCCAATATGGACTCCAGTCCAAACACCTGAATTCAACACAGACACGCATAAGACAATTAACCTAATATAAAAGCATAACAAATACACAGTGGAATGCACAAATATTGCATTTTTATCTTATGGGGTCAGCACTGGATTCCATCTATGTTACAGTGTTAAAATAAAAATACTGCAACAATTAACTTCCACTGACCTGTGCAATGAGGATGCCGAGGACAATTCCCAGCTGGTGTAAGGTGCCCATGGCTCCTCGTAGCGCTGTGGGGGAAACCTCACCCACATACATGGGCACGAAGCCTGTGGTGAGGCCGGAGTACAGGCCCACCACAAAACGACCAGCGATCAGCATTTCCCAGGAGCTCGCCATCTTCGAAAAGCCCATCAGAATGGCCGAGATGAAGGCCAGACTGTTGGCCATGAGCATAGAGTTCCTCCTGCAGAACAAAATACATACAGCAAATTATAATCAGAGCAAGCAGCAACATGTGTGCTTGGAAAGAGAAGCTGATGGTTAAGTGCCTGAACCTGCATTTGCTCTTATAGCCAGCAGGGGGCGACCATATTTAGCAAATAAAGTCAGATTTCATAGAAGTCTATGAGAAAATGACCCTACTTCTTTTCCTAATGATTCCATGGTATCCAACACTACTTCCAACACTACTTCAATACAGCATGGAGTTCATTTAAAACATATGTTTCAGTTTTGGTAAAAGTAGACAATAAAGCAACATATGTTAGGGTCAGGGTATAAAAATACCATCATTGTGATTGAGAGGTCAAATTCTAAAAGTCTATGGTTCAGATACCTAATGCTATTAAACTGACATTAACAGAGTTGCATGCTAAAATTATATTTTTGTATTTTATGCATTTCAGCACAATACACATTTTGGAATTATCTTTTTTTATTATATTTTTGTAAAGCTCAGAAAGTGTTCTGACATTTCTGTATCCGTAATGTGTCTTTTGTGATTCTTTTTTTCTTATGATTTGTGTTTTTGAGTTGATCAATCGTGTCTGCAGACACTTTAATATGAATTGATCCTGTAGTGATAAGTGATTTAAGTCAGTCTCACTTATTTTCTTATTGCTTTTACAGAGAAAATAAAGCCAGCACAGTCTCTCTGTCTGTTAGAAAAGACAAAGACAAGCAATACACATGTTTTCTTTTTACCTTCCAAATCGGTTGACAAAGAGTCCGACAGAGAATGAGCCAACGATGCCACCAACAGAGAAGATGGCGACGGAGATGGACCAGATAGCCGTGAGGGAGCCCTTGGTGATGGGCTCCTGGTAGCGTTCAGACCACGTCTCATTGATAAACTTCTCAATGATCTGCAAAAGGATACAATAAATGTTAAACATTATTATTATTATTAAGCTGTCGTTGCAAACGGTTTTTCTCCCACAACCAGCTCATGTGCTTTCAGATATTAAGCACATATGTCTTTGGTTTACATAACTGATTGTTTTTTAAATCATTTTTAAAATAGTAATAGTTATTTTTAGGAACGCTGCTTATGTTTTCCTTTTGTTTGGGCCAATACATAGAGAGACAGTTGAGCAGTTACTGTGTGACCAGCTGATGGCAGCCTTGTATGGTCATTACCATTTCCTGGCAACAAGGAAGTTAACCAGCCTCCTCTAAGTGTCAGATTTCAGTTCCCCTCCCCTCCTTCCTCCATCTTCGTCATCATAGACGGCAATGTTGACAAACACGCCCAGGCCGGCCAGTGACGGGGATTAAGATCCTCTGTGTCTTTGTGTGTGGGTCCCGCTGACATCCCCCATCACCAGCACTCTGGTTACCAGAGTCAGCTCCAGCTCCGTCATGTGCCTCTGCGATCGTGTTACATCTGTAACTGAGTACATTTACTTCAGTTCAAACTAGAGTGTCTCCATTTCATGCAATACTAACTTTATTCTTCTACTCCATTGAATCTCAGAGGCAAACATTGTTATGTTTTCACTCCACCACATTTATCGGACAGCTTTAGTCCCTAAAATAAGGGGATTAGGAAAATAGTGTTCCTTCATGGGTTGAGAAAAATCTAATTCTTCTGAGGATCAAGTAAACTATTTAAAGACCCTCTTGGATAACAAACAGAAAGCTAAAAAAAGGAGCTGACTGTGGTTCTCACAGGACAGCAACTCTAAAAACACAAGATGATATAGAATATGATGCAAGGCTGTAATGAAATCAACAAAAGTACATAACAAAGAATGAGCCTGACCTTAAACAGAAGTTGCAGAAGTGAAATGCAACACATGCCAACTTTAATTTAGAAGTACAAAAATCTCTATCTAAACAGTGAAACATTACCAAAGAGAATTAGACTGCCCATTTGCACCTATACTTTTCATACTATGGCAAAACAAACCTACTTAAGTAGTGGTTTGAATCCAGGACTTTGACTTGTGGTTGATTATTTTTGACAGTGTGGTATCAGTACTTTGACTTGAGTAAGTGTAGGATCTGAAAACTTCTTACATCGTTGAACACTTATATTTGTATATTTTGAAACCCTATACCAGAGCTCTTCATGTACTAGAGCGCTATGTTGGCTGGTGGAAACGATAGCTCAGCAGTGTCCTTACCAAAGGAATAGTTACGCTATCATTTGTAATTGGTTTTCCTCTGGTGGAAGCTTACATATGGGATGACACAATCTTGACACAAGCCTCAAGTCGTATCTATCAACTTACACTCACAAGACCTTGCTTGATACGAGAACTATTTCATCACGTACTGTACCCATGTTCTCTTTAAAAGTGTCTTTATTTAGAAGAGCTCTTGGTTTTGACATCTTTAAGAAGTGGTGGAATATAGCCAACTAGATTTAGAGACGTAGAATTTGACAGTTCTTGCATTTGATTTTGTGTTTTCATTTTCTGATGGTTAGTACTTCTTCTTTCACTTTTTGCAAGGCAGGCTAGTGAAAGTAAATCGATCTGAAATCATGAATTTACCGCCTATGGAAAAGTATTCAGCCCTCTTGGATGTTTTATGTGTTTCCAGTTTAGTTTGGCTTTTCAACAATAAACAAAAGGAACAAATTCTGTTGAGGGTAAACAACCTCTATTGACAGTAACAGGGCAGTCCTAGACCATCACTTTTATAGCAAGCTAGATTTTAGAAGTCAACATATATTGAAAGTAAAGTGAAACTGTCAGTGTTATCAACAGGCCAAGACTACAATGCCACTATCACTAACTTCAACAGCAACAATTGATAAGTTACATTATTATTTTGCGTGCAGTTCCCAAGTTTCTCTTAATAGACTGTGCGCTCTAACCCTAACCAGCTGGCTCTCAGCACACAATGAAACAAGCTGCCTATTCATACAGTCAGCTACCAGCAGTCAGCTGTTTCCCATCATGCACAGGGAAAAATAAAATGACTTTTGAACAAGGTAAATCATCTTTTGTGAACACTTAGAAACAAGTCAATGGGGAAGATATGAAAATAGTTTGGTTCCCTAGTATCTTGGGTAGTTTGGAATGTTTGAATTTGAAGTAACTCCTCAAAATGATCTAGCCAACAGGAAGCAATATTTTAGTAGCAGTATTTTAGATATGTTTGACTTTAGGGGGGCAACCAGGTATGGCATGAATATCTATAAGAGAATCGACTTCAAAGTCCTGCTCATAACTCACAAAGCCCTCAACAATCAGCCCCCCTCCCCCTACCTCACAGACCTGCTGCACCACCACACCCCTTCCCGCTGCCTCCGATCATCAGAAGCCAACCTCCTATCCATCCCCCCCCCGCATCAGTCACCGGACCTGGGGGGACAGAGCCTTCTCCGTCGCTGCCCCCTCCCTCTGGAACTCACTCCCACAACCCATCAGAGACGGCACCGACCTCACCACCTTCAAAAACTCACCTCTTCAATCTGGCTTTTAATGTGTGATTGTTTTTTTTAATTCTTTAACTATATTTATTTGTTGTTCTTTTCTTTTCACTATCTTTGTAAAGTGACTTTGAGCACCTGTAAAAGCGCTAACAAAATAAATCTATAAATTCCCAAACAAGGATATTATCAGTTTTGCGGCATGCAGCAGGAGGGAGCCACAGATTAGCCTATCTAATCACACAGCCCGACTGCGTCACATCAGCAGCATCACTGCAGCCTTTATCAAACACTGGAGCACACAGGGGAGAGGTGCTGGTGATTACTCAAGTGGTGTTGCTATATACAACTTCTATTCGTGGAGTTATATCTTATTAAGGGGTCATTAACTAATGAAGGATTAGGAGCCTGTGTTGGGTAACTATTTTCCTGCGTGTGATTTTGCTCAGACCTCCAACTCTGTGTGTGTGTGCGTGCGTGTGCGTGTGTGTGTGTGTGTGTGTGTGTGTGTGTGTGTGAGAGAGACCCAGGCTGAGTGTTTGGGAAAGGGGGTGAAGAGCCAAGAGGGCATGTTCACACTAGCCCAGTGTTTAACAGTCCACATATTCACCGCCTCCCTCTCAATCTGCAGCCCCTCACCCTGCAACTCACAAGGCTCCTGTGCTGAGCTGCATGAAGACACTGCAGGAATTGGTCCTCTATTCTGAGAATCGATTCATAATTTAAACTTTATTTGTGCAAAAGTACCAAACAATCCGTGATCCAAGTTCATGAAATGTTTTTTAGCTTTCATCTGCTTTATTTAACTAAATATCTCAGAGTTTTGGTCTGATAGGACTCAGACAAAAAGAGACAGAAGAACCCAAGTGCATTGATTAGTCTAAAAGCATATTAGTAGATGTATCCATATTGTATCCACATGTTATGATTGTTAGTTGCAGTCTAACACAAAGGGCACTGTTGTATGCACACAGTTTACAAAAGGACTTTCTGGTATTGAGTTTCATTGTTTGCACAATTTTAATGATTGCACATTTTTTTTGCACAGATGTCTCAATGCCTTAAATCCCCTTTTAACCATGTGCTGCCCACTTCTTGTGCTCTATATGACTCAGGGAGAAATGAAAAACAGTGAGTGAACTACCCTATGTTTCCCCACTTTTTAGGGACAACTAATCAAAGCTGCCCTCCTTAACAAAGCGTCCTTCACATTCCAGTGTAATGACAGTGGACGAGCAGATGAGAGTCAGGCTGTCGTCGCAGTGAGATCTCTAGATCAATGTGACAGCACACTGAAGACTGAAATGTTAAAGGTGAAAAGTACAGACTGAGCTCTGGGCTGTGTGGTGACCCCTGTGAACTGTGCACAGACAGCTGTGTAGCCGAGGGGCGTGTTCAGACCAACGCAAACCAACGGAGGTACGGAGGTATTTACTCATTGTAGTACTGATATTCCCCAGGAAATGAGCGTCTATGGTGGACCTCTGTGCTAATAAAACCTACTATGGATTTAGTGATTATGTGTGACTGTCTTCTCTTCTTCATTTAATTTCCTCTGAGTTTCCTTGTCTAGCTTTTTTCAAGACTGTTGCGGTTCAGCAGAGGTCTGATTTTGGGCATGGACACACTCTTTTAGCGAGAACCACTCAAAGGTCTGTTAATATAACTGTCCTTGGCCCTGATAGGCCTGAATAAAGCTATTATTATCTCACCCATTAACCCACCCCTCCCCTATACTTTCAATCCTTCTGTTTCAATTCAACAAGTGAGTGAACAACTAGCACTGGGGCTGGAAAATCAGGAAGAAAGATCTACTGTACTAATGATAAATAGCCTGCGTATTTGACAGCCACACATATTACAATTGTTTTAATAGATAACAATTCAATAAATGTATATCTTTGTGTCTATTTGTTGTTATGAAAAGATTAGAAAATCAAACATAATAATAAACATTTGATGGCATACAGCTTATGCATTTAAAGGGGCCCTGTTCTGCTCATTTTCAGGTTGATGTATGTTGTGTCTCCACTGTGACATGTTTACATGCTTTAATGCTTAAAAAGGTCATCACCTCTTTTCACCCTCTGTCTGAAACCAGAGCCCAGTCTGCTCTGATTGGTTAGCTGGCCGGTTCTGTTGTGATTGGTCAACCACTTATAGATGTCCCGCCCATTGGCCTATCACGTACAATGTGTGGGGTGCTAGCCAATAGAAGCCATAGAGTGTGTCACTATGTCACGGAAGTAAACAATGGAGTCCAATGGAGGCGTTTCAGGCAGGGAAGTGTGGGGGAGAAAATCTCTCAGGGGTGAATTTTAGCCTTTGCAGGCACGTTGCATGCCCAAAGATAAATAAATAACACACTACAGGAGAGGGAAACCCACAACAGCATAATAGGGCCCCTTTAACACTTTGAGATGCATCAGAACTTGACTTGGTATCAGCCAATGCCCAAAGTCCATGTGTCAATAGTGTGACTGAAAAGTTGGGAGTGGTGCATCCTCAATACATAAACTAAAAACTCAGTAACATTTGTACGCTGAAATACACTGTAAAACCTTCTTGGAGACACTATTTGAACATCATGCTTGCAGACACTTAACTCACCTTCTGAGGGGCGTTGATGACACCGGTGTTGTAGCCAAATTGCAGTGATCCCAGCACAGCTGTTCCAACAGCCATCAGCAGTGGGAACGTTACTCGCTGTAAGATTGAGAGACAATAGAAAGTCTTGTTAGAGGACAGACCAGCGTAACCAGTTATTCAACTTTTTACCCAGTTAGCAAATTACACAACATGTTACTTGTTAGATGCTTTCATCCAAAGCGACATACATACTCAGTACTGTGGAAAATCCCCACAGGAGCACTTTGGGGGGAAGGGTCCCAGGGACACAACGACATGCTGACTGCAGTGGGGTTTGAACCTGTGACCCCCTGATTCGAACATCAACACACAACGCCACACGTCTCCTGACAATTAATTATTTGTCCAAGGAATGGGAAGAGTGCAAATAGTATGACTTAGTGTTGGTTCATATTTCCTATAATACGATGGACGCATCTAGAAACTTGCATCAGTCGAAAACATTAAGTTAATGCCAATTTATTTTGGGAACAAAGTGTTCACTATCTTGCTGTATTGCACTTATTTTGAAGTGTGGTTGGGCTTCAGGTGGGCTGAAAATATCTGACTTAACAAACTGTTCATCTTGGTCAGCTAAGCAAGCAAACAAGTACAATCAAAATAAAAAAAAGTCCTGAAATATCTTGAAGATGTTTGTCCGTTTTAAACAACATGGTCAAATTGGACTGGCCACAAAAGATGTATTATGATACCTAAAGAGATGAAGAAATGTATTCAGCCAACAGTCAGACAGGCACCTGTTCCCTGAGGCGTGTTTACAGAGTTGTGGGCGAGCTTGGGCTGAGAAAAACTCTAGTCTGGTCTGAGTGGGGTCCCGCAGAGTTATCCAGATATAAACCTGCTTATTGGAAGGTCTGCATGCATCTGTGATCCTGTTCCTGTTATTACAGAATGAATTTGCTGCTTGACCTCAGTAGAGCCCGGTAGATTAGAAGAGATTTTCCTCATACCAAAAAGTTAATAAACCAAGAGTATGTCGCTTAGTTCCTTCTCTCAGACAGACAAAGACAAAACAGCCTCCAGGAACAATGTACCTTCGTTGGTGTTTACTCAGACCTGCCATCACTTCTCCTTCTCCTAACTGTATAACTGAATTATTCAAAAGGAGAACTTTTTGAAAACGTCATGAATACAGTAACAAGGATTACACACGTACGTCAGAAATGTGTAATTATCTCTCGAAAAGCGCACATAGATCAGATTAAAATCTAGATAAATATAAATACGTTTTCCAACTTTTATCACCACACCATCAGTCATCATGATGATTAAAGTTTACACTTGTGATTCACACCAAATGCTTTTCCACAATGATTCACACCAGATAGGTTCCTTATGTTTCGCCAACAGAAGAGCCGACCTTCACAAGAGTAGACATAATCTCGCTTTATCATGTGCAGACAAAACAAGAAGAAATAAAACATCTTCATATAAAACAATGTCAGGACACGAATCATGCTGTTGCAAAGGGTCAAACCTGTTGTGGGTTATAGACCAGAAAGAAAATGGACACAGCCCAATGACACCACGAGTACCTCAAATCCTCTGACCCACAAAGACGTTAGATCACAGCACAAAATGAGAAAAACCTATGCAAAGTCCATTTCCACATATAAACAAATCTAAAATATAACTGTTTTTTCCTTGAAAAATGCTACACCTTACACTAATGGCACATTTCCACTGCGGGGCCTCGCACGGCTTAGTACGGTATAGTTAGGCCTTGGTAGGCCAGGCTCACTTTAATGCTGCGTTTCCATTACAGTTTAGGAACTGGGGTAGTTACTATAGTAACGTGGTGTAGGCGGAGCAGTGACGTCATCTTCAATGAAAACCACAGAAAACCAACATCAGCCGTTAGCTGTTAGCACTCAGAGCTCACAGCTCCTCATATCTGTTACTGGACAAAAGTGAAACAAGTACAAACCACAGACTACCTGTGTCATGGCGAATACAGTCGCTGGTTTATTTATGTCTGTATAGGCCGTTGTTGTGAGTGTGGACGGTCGGAGCATATATAACGTTAGCTTAGCCAAGCTCCATTTAGAAAACACGCATTTTAAAAGGGTTTTTCCCTGCCGTCTGTCCGCAGACTTGTCAAAGCCTTAATTCATGGTTTTTACTAACCGGTATCAGTATGTTGTTACTTCGGCATCATTTTGAAACGTGTATTACAATTCAATCACGGTCAAATATGTTCATTTTGTTGTAGTTGTAGCCCCCTTGCCAGCGATTCTCTCTCTAGTTTAGCATACTCAGCCCGGAAAGAACCTGGATTTTGGAGAGCCAGAAAAACTGTGAGACAGTCCCCGTTAGCCGGTAATACCCCTAGTGGAAACGCCGGGTTTGGCACGGCATGCTTAAACCATGCTACGCGCTGTAGTGGAAATGCGCCATAAGTTTCATGAAAATGGGCCAGTGTTTTTTCTCAAAAAACAAATCCAGCAAACAAAAAACCAACAAACCCAAATAAGCATAATCTTCTTGTCGGATGTAGATCTATAGCACAATACTTTATAATCATTTTTAAATACTAAAAATGTACATTTAATATTTACCCACTGGATAACAGCAGAAACAAGCGTGGACCATATCACTGGCATTATCACCTTCACAATTGATATGGAAAGACTTGAGTTGCCACACTCATTTTAACATCCAGCTTTTTAAAAACAACATTAGAATGAACTTGTACTTGTGTTTTCTGCCCACCTTAATGTGAGTCCAATGTTAACTCGGTTTTGGTGCAACGACTCCTGAGGGATACTCTTAAGCTGCTAAATGCTCCACTGTGTATACCAACTAGCATCTAACTTCATTTGTTTCCTCTTTGGGGCTGGGGGCAGGTCATGTACAGTGGATTCCTTCCTTAAGACTCGGTCTCTAACCTTAAGGCTAATTCTCTGGTTACATTTTCATTAACTGTAAGCTCTCAAACCAGAAGAACCGACCCCACCAGGTTTAAAAGGACAATCCCCAGAAACTATTTGAAGCTATTGTGCATTCTCCTCTGTAATAGAACACAGGGCAGCAGTAAGCCTGGTGACAGAGGCAGCATGGGGGCAAAGAGTCAACACATTTTCTGTGGGGACAAGTATTTATTTCCTGCATGATGAAGAGGATCGAGAGCTATGAAAAAAAGAAAAAAAGTGAACCGTGACTTCAATAAAGACTCGCCTTCACTGCAGAACCAATAAGAACCCTTGTTAACAAGGCTATGACAGGAGCTGTATATGAACACACCCTTTTTCAGCCTTGTGGGCCGGGCTATTCAAAGAGTCTTGTTGCCAACGAGGAAACCAACCCGATCTGATGACATTCTGTAAAGCCACTGCTGATCAGAGATCGAACGAGAAACAGAAACAAGTTTTCGCTACATAAATACAAGAGACATTCTGTCCGTCCATTTGGAAGAAAACGACCACTGAAGGCTTGTTTAATCCCACCCCTCTGTGACATCTTTACCTTTAACCCATATTTCTTAGAGACGTCCCTCTGCCTGGCCTCAGTCAATACATACTGTTTGTATAGGCCAATGGGTTCACTCAAAATACACAAATCCCAATGTTTTGAGACTTTCTTCAGGCAAACATTCCCTGCTGCCATCTTAAAGGAAAGTAGGTGAGTTGGATATCATTGTGTACAGAAACTGAAGCATAAAACATGACTTCCTCACCAGTGGAACAATGAAGTCACACCCAAAACAACTATTTCATGATAATAGCCTTGATCTAACGCCAGTGATTGTTCTTCAGCTCGCTACCTTTTTCTCATGTTTGACTCAGCTGCAGCTCTCAGTGTTGTTTACATGTTTGAAATGAAGTTCCTGCATTGGTTTACTTGCACATGATGGATCATTAGTCTCAAAAGCCTGGCATTACATTGCATATCACACTAATCCACATGCATACTTAAAGCTGATTACAGGAATAGGATTTCACTTTCTTAGAAGGATGGTATTTTGATATCAAAAAGGCAAAATAAGGATTGCTAATTTCTCAAAAATATTTCCCAACAGGAGGATTATTTATAAAAAGCCTGTTTTATTCAAATACAATATAAACAAAGCATGTCAGTATCACTTTTAATATCAGTACAAGCCATATTGAAGTATAAAAAGGGGTGATTAATGCCTTGTAATTAACGGGGTTTACAGAGATTTGCGGATATTTTCAGTCTTGATTCTGAAGATTTGGGGTTTATATAATAGTGACTATAACAAGGGAAAGTCCATAATCGCATTGGGAATGTGTCCTGTGGGGGTTCCTTTGTCAGACTTAAACATCTGATACGTTGAGTTCATGAGACTTATGAATGTAATAATGCTTTTCTTCTTCCATGCCTAAGCTGTATCTAAATGCATAGAGCTGAACAACATCCATGCACTATTTACATGTGACAAGTAAAAAGTGGTGTTGGCCTGCAGCGAGGAACCTTTCTGTCTAGTCATTAACACTGTTGATAGCAGCTCTGGTTGCTAGGCACCGCTGCCTCTATCTGCTCTTATTGGGTAAACACTGCCTGCAGTAAACAGGAGTGAAAGAGAGCACAAATAATAAAGCACTCTATCACCTGGAAATCAGCAGGTTGGAAATGTAAGATCTGTGCAAACATTTACTGTATACACACACCAGCTCACAATCAACCAGGCCATGCCTTTCTAAATAACTCATACACATTATTATATTGGATTAATGACAGTAAAATATGATGAGGACATTAAGTAGAAGATTCATCTAGATAAGGATATGTGCAACTATGACAGCTAATATAAACCATTGTTTAACTGATTATGCTTAAACCAAGCCTTTTACCACCAATGAGATAATAAGCTCTGACAGAGAGGTGTGATACATTCTTCAAAAACAAAACGATATTGTGGTTAAACACTTCTTTCAAGGAAATTAGAGGTTTTACCACAACAACAAATTAAGCGCGCTGCAAACAACAATCAAAACTGAAGTAGGCAACTTACATATAACTTTAATTTGAGTAAATGTACCAGTACATCAATGTTAACATATTACATTATAACAAAGTGCTGCATTAAATATGCT